GATTCTAGTATTATCAGAGAGAGAAAGAAATTCATCAGCACAATAAATAATTTCAAACCATTCCATTGTGTTTTTCTTTTCTCACCATGTATTTTAAGATCAAAGTGCTCCAAATACTGTTATCTCACCATGTAGAGATATTCTCTCAACTCAGAAATGGAAAAAAGTTACTTTGGGGGAGTACAGATGGCCATTTTAACTGGGATATTCTGGGAGTTTTAGTTTTCATAAACAACAACAAACCAAAGAAAAAACAGAACTCCCCTTTCTTCTTTCTGCTCTAGACTATGGATTATTTTGTCTGCAACTTTCAATACCTTTTCTAGCTCTACCTTCTTCAATGTTGCCCGCAACTATGTAGTATCACAAACGTAGTCACACGAAAGATTTCATAGAAACATAGAAGAATGGAGTTGCCAGGAACCTATAGAGCCATTGAGTCCAACTCCTGCTGAATGAAGGAATCCAAATCAAAGTCAGGAACCTATAGAGCCATTGAGTCCAACCCCTGCTGAATGAAGGAATCCAAATCAAAGTATATCCAACAGATGATTGTCTAATTTTCTCTTCAATGTTTTCAGCACTGGAGTGCTCATCACCTTCTGAAGTATTTGGTTCCATTGTCATACTGTTCTAACAGTTAATAGGTTTCCTGATATTCAGCTGAAATCTGGCTTCCTGTAATTTTAGCCCATTGATATGTATTCTGCATTTTGGGATGATCCAGAAAAGACCCTGCCACTCTTCTGTATGGCTGTTTTTTAAGTATTTGGAAAGTGCTATTATATCCTCCTCAGTCTTTTCTTCTCAAGGCTACACATGCTCAGTTCTTTCAGTCTTTCCTTATATGGCTTGGTTTCCAGTCCCCTGATCATCTTTGTTGCACTCCTCTGAAATTGCTCTAGTTTGTTGGCATCTTTCTTACAGAGCAATGTTTATAACTGGACACTTTACTCAAGGTGAGGATTAGCCAGTGCAGAATAGAGGGAAACTAGTACTTTGCAGGATTAGGAGACTATACTTCTGTTAATGCAATGAGGATTAGCTAGTGCAGAATAGAGGGAAACTAGTACTTCACAGGATTTGGAGACTATACTTCTGTTAATGCAGCCTAAAATAGCATTTGCCTTTTTTGCAGCTACATTACACTGTTGGCTCATATTCAGCTTGTCATCTACAACAATTCCAAGATCCTTCTTGTTCGTAGTATTTCTGAGCCAAGTATCCCCATCTTGTAACTGTACATTTTTGGGTCCCCCCCAGGTATAGAACTTTGTACTTATCTCTCTTAAATTTCATTCTGTTCTTTTGGGGTCCCCCCCCCAGGTATAGAACTTTGCACTTACAGTATCTCTCTTAAATTTCATTCTGTTCTTTTCAGCAGAATGCTTGAGCCTATCAAGATCTTTTTGAATGTTGTTTCTGTCTTCCAGGTTATTAGTTATTCCACCTAGTTCTGTGTCATCCATAAATCTGATAAGCATTCCCTGCACTCCTTCACCCAAGTCATTAATAAAAATTTATATAAGAGCAGTTCTGAAACACATCAGATTTGCATCTTAGACAAAACAGAGTGTTGTTTTTTTGCTAGAGAAAGGTAGTACCATGGAAACAAGACTGTTGGGAATAGTAATAAGCTGTACACTGAAAAATGAAGGATTAATATGAATTGACTTGTCATAACTAAATATATAGAAACATTATGCTCTCTCTCTCTCTCTCTCTCTCTCTCTCTCTCTCTCTCTCTCTGTATGTGAGTGTGAGTGTGAGCATGCATGTGCATGTCACACTTTTGACTAAAGAGTAGGTTATTTCCACACTGGAGACTTTGGCTCCTATTTTAAGATCTAGCATATATTTGAACAACCATTTTCTTTTGGTTCATAATGTCTGTAGCATTCTGCCACTGGCCAAATAGATGCATCTTAAGTGAGATTAAATGAGTTTCTTAGAGCCATTGGCAAAAATCTATTGAGGTGCATATTCCTAAAAATTTAAACTACATACCTGAAATGTGTATGTGGCAATTAGACTTGCAAGCACACTTATCTTAAATTTGCAGGCACACTACAGCTTTCTGTCAAATTGTTCACTGAGCAACCCATATTTACCCTGCACGATATTTAAAATGCTCTTGAAATTTAATGAAGTCAGGGTAATGAAGCTTGGGTTTCAACATTTATCCACTGTTTCTGAAACTCCAGGGGTGTGAATTGCCTTTACTGCACTACCTTGTAATGTTATGAATGTAGCTATTGTGTAGAACTGCACATCCACACATAATGAAATCTGTAGCATCTTGAGTTGGTGATCAGAATTCCCGGTAGTAAGAGTGGCCACAACCATATTTCCCATAGCTGTTTTCTCTTTCATTAACTAGAAAAAGTAGAATGAATTATGTCATGAAATCAAGTGCACATATATTTACTTAAACTGATAGGTTTAATTGAGAGGTGCAAGCATGATTACTGGGCAAAGTAATACAGTATTTGTGCTATCTGCAGAATTCTAGGATCCTGTAACATTGAAAAAATATCTGCTTACAACACCTCTTTTTTCTTCTTCTTTTTCTTGTTTGTATTTATATTACAGCTGTTAGAACTGCACACAAAATTGCTGATAACGCTGATCTATAGACTCTGCAGGCCACAAGTTCAGATGATAAGACCGTTTCCTCCTCTTTTAGAAAAGTGAAAAATAATAGCTGCCCTGTCATTGTGTTTTATTTGGAAAAACTGTGCATTTTACCAACAGCCAGTTGATTCTAGCTTTCTAACTAGAATGGCTTGGATCCAAAGATGTCCTTCTGTTAGCAGGCAGCTTCATTTGCTCAGTGCAAATAATTGTTTAGAGAGCAAATGGCAGTGCGAGACAGGGGGTTTTCTGTAGGACACCAGCATATGGCTGTGTGGGTGCACTCTGAATATGAATTGGGGCCTTCAGCACTGCTTTTTCTTTCTAAATAATTTGGACGGCCTGAACATGATTCTTACAATGTGTGAATAATGCAACATGCATTCTGGATATAAAACTAGGCTGAGGCTGGCATAATTCTTTTAGTCAGTACCCAAGGATGCAATTGCTATACAGTCATGACCACTGAGTGATATCTGACTCCAGTTAGTTTCTGCTGTAGGCATACACACTGGCTGAAATTCAGTTGCACAATTATGGAAACAGCATATGTTTTAAAGGCAAATTGCTGGAAGTTAAGAATCTCCATAGAATTTCAGTGTGCCACTGGTATGGTCTGTGGAGATTTCTAAACTTACTACAGTGGACCTCTAAATGTTACTTCGTTTCAGTAGCTGTGCAACAGGATTTCAGCCACTGTGTTTATGCAGAGACAAAGCATCAGAAAAAGTGCGAGTAGAACTTAGAAATAACTAGTTATTTGTAACTTATTTTCCTTTTTATATATATAAAGAAGGAAGAGCAACATACATTACATTATAGTGTAACTTCATGAGGGACAACTTCACTGTCTTTGCAGTCTGGAAGTTGAGCCAGATTTCTTTCTTATTAGGTTGAAATGTTTCACTACTCACTACACACTTTCTTCAGTCTGAGGAGAGTTTGTAGGGGATCCCTGAGATATCCTCCACATTGGTTTCACCTCCCTCAGATATGAACAGATAACTTCCAGATAACTTCACCTGGATGACTGAGAATCTTCACAGATCTCTTTGCAGTGTTAATAGAATCCATTTAGGCCCTTTTATAGTTATAGGATTTTGACATGACTCAAGAGAGGTGATGGAGGAATTCCATCTTCACTCATTCTGTGTCTTGTGCTGCTGTCTCATTCTCATTTGTGAGAACTGAAGTGACAATGAAGAAGATGGGATAAGAGTGTAGTTTGCTGTACTTGCCAGTAGCTTGTAGCATTCAGAGGTTTTTGTAAAAAAAGTGACTAGTTACTTTTAGCAGTACTTTATGAGAACAGCTGAGCAAATAGTTGCTTTAAAATTGTAACTCTCTTGATAGCTAATTGCTTTTTTTTTTTTTTGGAAGCCTTACAACAATAATTGTAACTAAATACTCTTAAATATTTTCCCCCAAGCTTTAAATGATATCATGTGGCATCATTCCAGAGTTACCTAGAGGACAGCTCTGCCTGATGCTCTGCTTTGAGGCCCAGTAATTCCATCAAAGTGTGTAATTTCCATGACAGCAGAAAGTTTTAAAAAGCAAAGATTACTTTCGCTAACATCATGGCCGTTAAAGGGTGTCTCAAAGTGAAGTGTCAAATACTGAGGACTGCACTCCATGTTACGCTTTTAAAAAAATGTGTGTTCTGAAAAACATGAGTTTTCAGTGCAGGGAAAGGAATTTATGGGAGCTTGAATGGGTGTATGCATTTCAAGGACAGTTTCTGTGTTTTGGCTGCAGTGTGCAAGCCAATTTAAATTGGTTGTTGTGGGTTTTTCGGGCTGTTTGGCTTCTGCATTCGCTGTATTCTGCCTCACCACAAGGTCATTCCTTTCCGTATATTATATGATATCCCCCTTGGTATGAGAACCTTGATAAATGTTTTTAAAAAGTTACATACAGTAGGACCACAGTATCTGTAAGGGAATCAGTTCCAAGCCTCCTGTGGATGCCGGAAATCACGGAGATAGTGAACTCTCTATACAGCATAGTCTCTGGTTCCGTCCAGTGGCCAGTTCTGGTAATATAGCTTGAAAATGCATATTTCTGTTTTATTAATTTAATATTTTCAGGCAGTGGATAAGTGAAACTGCAGGTACTGATCCCGCAGATAAAGCAGTCCTACTGTATTTCTTTATGTGTTTAATAGATAACCAAGAAGAGGGAAGGGTAAGAAAAAAATAAATGCATGTTTCTAATTTTTTGTTGTTGGTTACACTTGGTGAAGATCAATCAATATCTGTATCTAAATGCAGGAAGGGGTAACCTTCTGCAATACACTTTTTGGGGTATCTTACTTGAGGTACTGCATATAGTAAAACAATGTGTTCTTTTATTGTTTTGTTTAGTTTTACAGAATTTTTGGACCCATTCCAGAGAATTATTCAGCCAGAAGAGATCTGGCTCTATAAAAACCCTTTGGTAGAATCTGACAACATACCTACACGCCTCATGTTTGTAAGTACTAGAGATTTCATGATTTTTTGATGGCTGTGTAAGGCTCACCTGATGGCTTTGTATTAGCTAACATGAAAATAGAAAACACTTTGCCTTTTGAGGAATAGAAGGAAGCAGGAAGAAGTTTATTTTCATCGATAGGCTGCCAAGAGAATTTAAACCTTAAAAAATATGTTTTTGTGTGTAGCTTCATTAATGTAGCTATAAAAGCTCCTGAGGAATTACAGTGGTGCCTCGCTTAAGCAATTGCTTCGTTTAACAATGTATTCGTTTAATGATTAGTTTTCCAGAGCGCTCTTGCGCTCCGTTTAACGATGTTTCCCATGGGAGATTTTCGCATAGCAATGTTTGGTACCTTGCTTCGCATAGCGATGACAGTTTGGGTCCCCCTGTTTCGCTTAACGATGGTTTTGACAGCCTCGTGTTGGTTGTCTTTTAAATGTTTAAAATGTTTAAAAAAGGTTTAGAATGCTTGAAATCATAAGTGCACTTAATAAACCCTTTGTTAAACTAATGTGACTTTGTTCTGACTCTTTTTGAATTTGTTGTATTATCCCCCACCATTGAAATGCATTGAATAGGTTTCAATGCATTTCAATGGGGGAACCGCGTTTCACTTAGTGATGTTTCCTATGGCAATTTTCGCTTAAGGACGGCAATCTGTTCCCATTGGAACAGATTATCCGGTTTTCAATGCATCTCTATGGGAAAACGCGTTTCGTTTAGCGATGTTTTCCCATGGCGATGTGTTTTTTTGGCACCAATTAAAATCGTTAAGCGAGGCACCACTGTACTCTCTCACTTCTTTTAGAACAGTGTATGATTTTAAAAATACAAAGTGTCAAGTCAAGAGCATTGAAAATGCTCAGTGGTACATAATTAAGATTTTGGAGAGGTGAATGAGTTAAAAGTTTTAATTGCATTAAAGGAAAGACGCACAAAGACTAAAGTAAATCCACAATGAAGTCTTGATAGCTGATGCAAACAAGGTATAAATCTAAGCAACCTGATACTAAATATATTTTAAAATTATGTACTTTGGTTTAAATGACAAATTTGAGTAAAAAAGTTTTCTTTCCGTCCTTTTACAGGCATGTCAGAAATAATTTTATTTGGCCTGAAATATAGATGCTTCTTTTTAATGTTTAATTTAGTTGCAATTTTTGAGAGGTTACAACTGAACTCAGGTTTATGGTAGATAAATATTAATAATGAAAAAATAATAAGGAAAATATATAAATAAATTCTGGTGAGGGCATATCACCTTCAGAAAGAGAAGAAGAGCATTTGTGCCAGTTGTCTCTGATTGAGAACATTGGAAATTTATTTCTTCTTTCAGACTCCTTTGGGCTGTTAAGGCTGAAGTACTTGGAAGCAAATTAGTAAATTTTGTGTATTTCGTTTTACTGAATACCTGCTGTTTTTCTCTACATATATTGAATGCTGTTGTGTGTTTTGGAGAACACAGCAACACAGAGATTGTTCAGGCAGAAATGAGTCACGTCTGTTTCGAAGTTTTGGATTTCTGGTAAAATTCCTTTTGCTACAAAGTAGAAATATAGAGACTCAAAAGTGAGCAATAGCTACAAGTTCCCCAGATTCCACTCCTTTCTCATTAACTGGCACTTACGGTCTCATTAACTCACTATGAGGCATTTGTATGAAATAGAATAAAAATGTTTCATTGCTTACAGTTGTGAACAGATTAGCAAACAAGCAACAAACAAACTGACTTCAAGAGACTAAAGAGAGGAAAAAGGAACACAGACCAGAGAGACAGCGCTCTCTTTGAATTCAGAGGTGGGAAAGAATGATTGATTAGTGCTGGATAGATTGACAGCCACCCCAGCCCAGAATGACCCTGCTCAACCTCATGTACTACAGGCAGCATGCAAGACTGTAAAACTTCATTATTTGGCACAACAACCATGGACATTTTTGAATTAGTAGTTGGCCCCACTGAGACGTTAGGGCATGTTCCTGATTGTTACTATCTTCTAGTGAAGTTGGCGATCTGCAAGATTTTCCTTGTCTTGTTTTTGCAGGTGAGAAAAAATATCAAGTATTCTCCCTTTTGGGCAAGGCTATAAGAAATGTGCATTTTTCATGTTTCAGCACTTTTTTTTGTAAAAATTTTGCAGTAGCACTTGTGTGTGTGTGTGTGTGTGTGGTGAACATTTTGCAGTAGCATTTGTGTGTGTGTGTGTACCAAAACACTGTATTTTGTGCAGAAAGCTTTGTACCAGACAAGGTACAATTTAAAATATACATAATGTTTTTCCCCCAAAAGATGTGTTGTAACATTGAAAGCTTTTATATATATACATATAAAATGTTTTTCCCGAAAGGTATCCTGTAACATTGAATGTAACATGCAATACCAAAAGAAGGGAGATGAGTAGTGAGAATATTTACTTGGAAAAAGAAAGGTTGTACTTTGAGCACAAAACCATGCATTTTGTTCAGAAAAGAAGTTTTTTTTTTAACGTAAAGTACAATTTTTAAGCAAGAAAAAAGTAGCTTTTTCGATACTGTTGCTGACAGAAAAGAGTGCTGGTCAATTTCCTCTTGTATAGGAGAGAAAAATCTTGGAGTGGTTGCCCATTTTCCCCCCAACTAGGTATCTTAATGTATCAGGACATCTTTTTTAAATGGAGAATGAGAACATATTCTTTTGTATTCTGGGTGATGTCAATGACTTATTTTGTGACTCAGTTGTCATGAACAGATCACCATCTGATTAGTTTTAACTGCAAATGATGTCATCTTCAGCAGAAGAGAAGAGAAGCATTAAGATAGTCTGCCACATACATGTAATGGATCTGAATGTTTTCCTGAATGGGCTTCAGAAGCTTCTCACTTTGCTGCTGTAGAAACCTTGTTTGACCTATGGGTACAGACATCTCTAGAGCAGGTGTTGTATCATTTCTAAGCTCCCTGGTTTAATAGGGATGATACACATTGGTTTGGTTCTGGATAGTAATGCTTATTTTGATCCATTTCATTTTGGACTTGAGCCCATTTCATTTTGGACTTGAGACTGTCCGTGCTGAGGACTGGATAAGGGGAAAGCAGTCTTATTGGTGGTTCCCAGTACAATGCTTGTCACATCCTGATGTACTGCCTGACTGGGTAGGGTATCGATACAATACTGTACAGTACCGTATTACTTCTGATGCTTCTTCTCAGGATAAACCCAAGCGATTTAAAAACGTTGTTGGGTTTATTTCCCCTTGAAAATGCCATCCTGAACTGTTTTCTGGGCAAATACACATTTTAAAAAAATAATCAAAATGGGGGTTCCAATAATTCTTTGAGCCCTCAAAACAGGAACATTCTGAGCCAACATTTAAAAATTATTTTGGAGGCCACTGGTCCTGGAGGGATTTCAAAAATTATGCTGAAGATTGCACATCTAGTATCTGGTGCTTTCCTGGGCTCTCTGGTAGACACTAGATGTTCTGACAGATGTACATTCAGTCACATAACATTCATAGGACTTCTGCGAATGCTCTTACGTAACGTGGAAAAAATCAACATAATTTGTGTGTGTGTGTGTATGTGTGTGTGTGTGTGTTTTAATGAATAAGCTTAATGGACTGCAATAGTTTTTCCTCATCCTTTCTTGTGACTACAATTTAACCCAATCCGAGGCAATTTATGGTGTATTTTTTGTTCATGTACCATCAAGTCATTACTAACTTACAGTGTAATGACCCTAACAGGGCTTTTAAGGTAGGTGGAATATTTAAGGAATGGCTTTACCAATTTTGATGGCTGAGTGGTTATTTGAACCCAGGCCTCCTGAGTCCTAGTCTGTCACTCTGCCCACTACACCAGACTATGTACAATTGCTATGGACAGTTAATTGGCATACTGAGGCTCTTACAGCTTCCTCAAACTCAGGAAAGGCAACACCTGTGACAGGTTTAAAGAACAAAATGAATGTTCATTCTGCATTCTTTTCGCAAGTGACAGTTCTTAGGTACACCATAGCTCCTAGAAGGTTAGTGTTCTGTAGTTAAAGTTACTGTAAAACACTTCAGACTGCAGGAGATCATTACTGGCTGTTGTTCAGCATTCCTTTCCTTTTCACCCTGTCCTTTTATTTCCTTCCCAGCTTGATATTTATATCATTGCCATAGGTACTGTTTTTGGAGAAGTTGTAGTGACAGAAAAGCTGTCCTAGCAGAAATCAGAAAAATGGTCTGTCTAGCCTAGGATTCTAAGCCACATTCAACATTTCATGAGCAAGCTCTCATGCTCTCCTGTCAACCACTTGACATGTTTCCCCAGTCACTCCAGAGTCTCTCTCTCTCTCTCTCTCTCTCTCTCTGTGTATATATACACACAGTTGCTGAGACAAAGGGAAATCCATGCTGCCATCAGTCTCTGTTCTACTGGTAAAACTCCAGAACTGAATTCAACCATCTGTTCTTTTTTTAATACTCTTGGCAGTTGGATAGTTGATCTATGAAATGGGCAACATGGAAAAGATCAGGCCCCTACTAGATATCAGAAAGAGAATTATGCAAAGTGTATATATACACACAGTTACTGAGACAAAGGGAAATCCATGCTGCCATCAGTCTCTGTTCTACTGGTAGAACTCCAGAACTGAATTCAACCATCTGTTCTTTTTTTAATACTCTTGGCAGTTGGATAGTTGATCTATGAAATGGGCAACATGGAAAAGATCAGGCCCCTACTAGATATCAGAAAGAGAATTATGCAAAAAAAGGGGGGGCACATAATGCTTACCTTATATTTGGAGATGGCAGATAAGCAATGCTTAAGAGTCAACTAAAAACAGTCAACTAAAAACATGGTTATATGTTCAGGCCTTCCCTCCTGTCAATACTTAATTTCCTTTCTCTTTCCTTTTATTATTTGTTTTATTATATGTGGTGTTGTTTATCTGAAAAAATTTTTATGCTTCACTGTATACTTTTTATGAAATAAATAAATGAGTGTCGGTTTGACCAGCTGAGCGGGATATA